TAGGCGTCGACATCGCCGTCCTCGCCGGCGACGCCCTCCCCCCCCTCGTCACCCGCTCCACCCTCCTCCGAGTCGTCCGCGAGACCACCCCGGTCGTCGGCTCCACCGGGTATGGTCCGAGGGCTGCATCTTGCTTTCTCATCAAGGAGGAGATTTACTCATATTAGAACTATGAACTGTTTGAGTTCTTATCGATGCCTGAAATTGGTTATTTTGATGTAGGTTTGCCACTGTAATTGAGGATTAGAAATATCAATTGCTCGAGATGCGTTCTTTAAGCGAATTAGGTCCCCATTCGTTCATTTGTTTTGCACGAGATGCTAAGTAATTGAGGCAATTAATTTCCCCTTTCCATTAATGTTTAATTATATGGAGTTTGTTAGATTTACTTCGGCTTATGTTTATGTCTGTATATAAGCCCTAATTTTGAATAGTTTTGTACTTTCTTGCAAGTCGCAATGAATTTTGACCCCATTTTTGGGATGTTGCTTCAAAGTGAGTCCAGTTACTCGTTTACTATGGATTTTGTTTGATTTGGTCTATCATTTGATGTCAGTATTATGTTTCGGCGTGATTTTGTTACTGTGTTGTGTTTCATGCTTTAGTTATTTTCAGTTTCATATCATCATTCTTAAAAGCAAACCTTGTGCTCAATTATGTGGAGTTTGATCAAATCTTGTGCTTAATTATTGCCAGTTTTGATACTATCATTCTTAAAATTGAATCTTGTGCTTAAAAGTATGTACTTCCTAAAATTGAATTTGTTACTATATTGTGTTTCATGTTTTGTGGAGGAGCGAGAAACTTGTTTAATAATCTTAACTCTTAACTGTGTGGAAAAAATAGGGTGATTACAGAGTCCTAGCAGGTACCTTGGTAATTTTCCAAGTAATTAAAATGTTTTGATTGTTGTTCAAGGGGATATTTATCCTAAACCGTTTGTTCATATGTCAACTGGTTTGCGAGTAGTTAGCTGAAGTTTCTTTTAATATGAAACTTTCAGTGCTAATGATTTTCCTTTTTTTTTAGTATATACGAAAGTCAAGTCTTCCAACTCTTATTAAGAAATTCATTTTCTTTTCAGAGGCTAGAAAAAGGAAATGGCTGCAAGAAACTCCTGAAGCATCAAGTAACGACGAGCTTGTAGTCTTTGATTCATCAATAATATCCTGGTGGGCATGGATCAAAAGATATCATATTCTCGAAGCTGAACTACTCAATGGTTGGCTTCTGCATCTCATCTTATGTTGATTCTTATTGCATATGATGCGTAAAAGTAAGAAATGTGAGAAGAGGGGGAAAAAAGACTATTATTGCATTTAATGGTTAATTGCACAGGTTGGATCAATACTATGATGATGGTCTCTTTTGTTTTAATTTTGATCGCAACCTGGTCTCAGCCTTGGTCACACAACCTTGGTTTGGTTTGCGACTTGGATGACTTTTGTATTAGTCTCGGTTGTGTTGGATATTTATGCTTGATATTTGTGTTGGATATTCAATGTTTGGTTTCAGTTGTGTTGGTTATGATCTTGGTTTCAGCCAGTGTTTGGTTATATATGTGTGCTTAGCCTTTGGTTTCAGTTGTGTGCAAACTGAACTGAATTTCCAGCAATATTCAGTTGTGTATTTACTAGCAAATATTTTGTGTGCCTAAATTTTTGTTGTTAATATTTTGTCTTATATGGGTGGTAATCACACCATGGTGACCACAATCAAGTTTTCTTGATTTTTTAGTTTGAACCACACACTAGAAAACGAGGGAATCTATTCACATATCAATTGTTTTCTTCTTTTTTCAAGTTGAACCGAACTAAGAAAAATGGTGGAAAGTACTTTCAGCCCATATTTTTTGGCGAAACAAACACAAGAAACACTTTCCATGAAAGTGAAGGAAACAAAAAAAAAAAAAAAAAAGTGAAGGAAAATCGTTTTTGGAAAATGAAGGAAACGAACCAAACAGGCCTTAACTTCTTTTCCCTCGCTTTCTTCTTCGTCTCTCTAAAAAACCCTAGTTTGATGTCATCGTACGGCGGTGATCGAGGTGGTGGTCTTGGTGGCGGCAGAGACTGAGATGGGGTTTGTGTTAGTTTTCCCTAACTCTAGCTTCGATTTGTTTCTTGATAAAGTTTTCCCCCCTTCGAATTGAAGGGTTTTGTTTGTGGAAAATCAACTGAAAAGCTGAAGACGGATAATTGCTCTTTATCTTTACATTGTAGAAAATCACAGCTATTACTTACAATTTGGTAAATAAGGCTGTCATTGAGATTGAGCGTGTGAAAAGTTAAAACCCTTTTTTTCCGCAATGATTGTTGCGGCATGAGTTTCAGCAACTGTAGAAATTGTAATAACTCAGGAAAAGATTATTGCATATGCAGACAATGAGTACCTTATTCTTGCGCTCTCTAGTTATGCT